CCCTCCGCGGGGACCCCGTGGTCCGCTCAGGCCGACTCGGGCGGCGGGGGGCACGGCCCCCCTGCCCGGCGGGCTGCGGCTTGCCCCACCGCCTGCGCCGGGCTGGCGGTGGATCTGAGCAGCGGGGTGACTTCCTTGGCTGCTTTCGACGGCCGTGGCCCTGCTCGGAGCCAATGCCGTCTGCGGCCTCTTCGGAGAATGCTGCGCGGGGGCCTTCGCTGCCCGTTGGCGGGGCCTCCCCGGCCTCCCTCGCGCGCGGGCCGCGATCGGAGCCCGCGGCAGGCGTGATCGCGGTGCCCAGCGCGCCCGGGCCTGCGGCCCAGGAGCGCGGGTTGGGGAGCGCGCGCGGGCCTTGCTCGAGGCCCGCCCGCAGCGCCTCCCCGAGGCCAGCGCTCGCGTCGCCAGCAACGGCGGCTGCTGCGTCGGCCGCAGGGGGGGTTCGCCATCCCCGATGGGCCGGCTTGGCCCGACCTCGACCCCTTCGCTCCTCCGTCAGCCACGCGCTACGATCGCTGGAGGTTGAACGAGGGCGAGGAGAGCTACCCGCGATCCCTCTGGCCGCTCGGCCAGGGGGTATTCCGCTGGAGATCCTTTTTGAGGGGACCTCACGTTGGGGTCTGTCGGCCTCGTCGTTGGCTGCTCCGTTGTCGCTGTAAAGGTCGTCTTTGGCGTTGCTGATGTCCCGCTGGAAAATGGTGGGTTCCTCGATACTGTTTTCTACCTCGCTGTTTTTGGTAATGGCTGCTGCGGCCCGCCTCATTTCGATGTGCTTAAGCTTCTTCCAGTCGTCCTTTAGCTTGGGACCTTTGGGTGGTAGCTCCCAGTCGTGCCTCCTGGTGGCGTCGATCCTCCTCATGAACATGACGTTGCTGATGGTGTTGGCGACATGGTTGCTGTAGTTTTTGGGTGTCGTCGTTCTTCTTGTTCTGCTTCTCGCTGTCAGGTTGTTGCTTTGTTTTGCCCCTGCACCTGTTGGGTTTCTCGGCCTCTGGGGATCCAGATGTCGGTATCGATGTCGCTCTTCGCAGTTTTTCCCTTGCCGCAGTGGATGTTGCCGTTGCCGTTGACGCCGCTGCTGTGGTGGCTGCAGCTGTGGCCCCAGTTTTTGCCGGGGTGCTCCTTGGCCCACTGGTCCGTCCGGTTGTGGCTCTTTTCCAGCGTGCGAGGCCCGCTCCGATCGCTGGTGTGGTGGATCTTGGCGTAGTTGGTCTGTTTCGTGGGCAGCTCGATGTTGACCTCCATATGCCATGGTGGTATTGTCGTTCCCGGTCCGCTCGCGGTTGCACCCCATGACGTCGCCATGGTTGGAGCTCAACGTGAATGTCGTGGTGGCTGCTGCGCGCCGTGGTGCGCAGCGGGCAGTTTTGGCGTGCCGTGTAGTGTTGGTGCTGGACATTGTGGTCAAGAAGTTCTCGTGCAGCGGCGACTCGTAGCAGAGCGCGTCCTTGAGCTCTTTGTTCGCGTAGCCGTCGGTGCCACGCTGGATTGGCTGAGATCGCAGTCGTGGTACCTCCACCTGGCAGGTTACCTGAAGATGTTACCGAAACGAAATGTAAGAATATGGTTTGTAAGAGTATAAGGGATGTAAGAGGTGTAGATGCTATGTGGGAAAAGAGAGAGGTTTCGGTCGAGACTGGCCACCTAGGGCTGGCGCACTCCCACGTTATCTGGGCAACGTGGCTCTTCTCCTCCTCCTCCTCCTCCTCCTCCTCCTCCTTCTCGGTGGCTTCGCTGCGGGCGATGCAGCCGTTTGCCCTGGGCCGCGGCGGCTTGCGTCGGCTTGCCTGCGATTGCCCCCAGCGCCACGGCCCGTGCGCGCTCCCTTGGCTGGCACCGCCGAGTGCGGCGGCGGCGCTCTGCTGCTCGGGGGCGCTTGCGCCGCGAGCGCGACGCGAAGATCCTCGAGCGCCGCCGCGGCAGCCGCGTCCCCCATGTGGGCTGCTGGCGCAATGCACCTTGGCGTGGCGGTGCTGTTGGTGGCGCTTTGCAGTGGTTCCCTGACAGAACCAAAACTGCGAAGTCGAAGGACAACTCTTACAACGTCTGCTCATCCTGTGGGCACTGGGGGTTCACGAAGTGGGGGCACAAGCATTGCTGCCAGTGCCAGAGCTCCTGCCTCGATGCCGTCAAGCCTCCCCAGCAGCCTGCAGCCCCTGCGGTTCAGGCTCAGGACAAGGGTGGTGGTATGCGCGCCGAGCTGGTGGCCCAGCTCCAGTTTTGGTCAGCACGCTTCCCTGCCTTGGCGGATGAAGTGCAGGAGGTGGCGGCAGCGGGCGCCAGCGCCCCCAGTTGCCGTGGACCTGCCCGCCATGGAGCTGGATCGGTTGGTGTCGGCGCAGCAGGGGGAGTTGGCTAAACGATGTGAGAGCGCAGCCAAAGTGGAGAGTTTGTCCGAGCAAAAGGTCAATGGAAGATGGAGCGCCTCAGTAAGACTCGGAACGTGCTGGCCGAGCATGAGACCACCTACAACGATGCGATCGCCGAGCTGCAGTGGGCCACC